AGGGAAACCAAGGCAGCCCAAGGAGTCCTGGAGGATCCCTGACTGTCCTTGAGCCCTGTCTCCTGGAGGTACCCTGTCTCCTGGGTAATTACCCAGATGTGGGCACCGGCACAGCATTGCACATGGACCAGAAGCCCATGTGTGTAGTCACAGATCTTCTGGACACAGGCACATGCACACAAGCCCACATACATACCATGACACACATTCATTCAGAGACACAAATGTACAGGCACATGCCTCTTTACACGCAGGAACATGCTTATACACTGGTAAACACACTCTTGCAAGGACACACATGCTTGAGTGACATGCCTGCAGGTATGCCGTCATGTGTGTTCGCACATGTCCTGTCCCTCCCACCCTCACTCCAGTTCTCAGTCTGACACGCTGCTGCCGTGCTCACCCACTGCAGGTGGCCCTTTGTAAGGTGGCATCAGAGAGGCCAGATGCCGTATGCAGAGGGGGTCCTACGAGTAGGTGACTCTGTGTGTCTGCTTGTCCAAATTTGTTTATGTGGCTGCCACTGTGAGTCTGGCAGCCGGTGCGGCTCTAACTCCGTGTAAAACAGAGCAGTGTCTCTTTGCGACATGGTGGGCATTTTTCTGTACACATTTGTGTGTATTTCTGGCAGGACCTACACGTAGCTGTGTGCACCCGTTTGCACGGATGTGAGAGTGGAAGATAGCACAGAATTTATTTATCAGTACGACTGCATTTTGTGGACTATCCGAGCATGTCAGTGTACGTATGGCCATGTGCACATTTGCATATGTGTGCATTGCTCATGTGTCTATGGCTCTGTGTCTGCAAGTCACCCAGCTGGCTGGCTCCTGCCCGGCAGAGGCTGTGGCCTGGGGTGGGGCCAGGTGGGGCTGCACGGGATCCCTCAACCACTGTCAGTCGTATTTACAGAGCTCAGAGTAGAACGTAATTGCTTCTATTAATCTTTCTCTGGTTGTTAATTGCTCACTTATCGGGTTGTGTATTATGCTGACTGTTGCTCTTAATTCGCCTTCATAGCTGCAGGTGCTCACTGCCTTATTAACTGTTAATCAGCGCCGCTAGGGATAGAGACATAATTGGCCCCCAGAGTGGGACACAAGCAGGCCAGCAGGACACTGCCATGCTCTCAGCTGTCCCTGGAATCCTAAACTATGGAGCACAGGTGGCTAACAGGGAAGGAGCTGGCCCATCGCCACTCACTAGCACACAGTGAGTAGTCCAGCACACAGAAGCAAGAGTCACGACTACGAGGTATGGTCCCCTCCTCCCAGAAGCCAACCAACCAATTAGAATCCAGCTCCTACACTCCCTCTCATCTTCAACAACCTTCCTCTACCCAGGATAGGAGCCAACCTCATTTATTTTAATTATTTGAACCTAACTGAGACCTAAGAGACCAACACTTCCTCCACCTCCCCTCTGATTCTGGCTGTCAAGGCTGTTAAGGTAACAGAGACACCGGAAGAAAGGAGGGCAAGACGGAGATTCTGGCAGAGCAGGAAGGTGAACTCAGACCCTGGAAGGACTTCCTAGCTTTTGAAGAGGCCATCTGGAACAAGGAGAGTCCACATAAGACTAAGAACTTCCAGGAGGAGATCTACTGCTCCATCCCAGCCACCCTCGAGGGGTCTCCTCTCGGCCTCTGCTTTCATAGCCCCCCCCGCCGTGGCACTGCTACATGGCTGCAGAAAGGTAGGCTCTCTGTACTGAGCTGACTTCTGCATTCCCCTGCCCCAAGTCACAGCAGGAGAGTCCCAATTGTCCACAATGTGGCCCTGAGGCCCAGAAAGGGAATGACTCCAGGGTCCCACAGTCCTCTCTGGTAAGGGCTCAGATATGCAGGTCTCCAAGCAAAGTTTCTGCCCTCCTCCTGCCCCCAGACCCTGCTCCAGCCCAGACATCTCAGACCTGGTGGGGACTTTCTCCATCACCACCTTCTTGGCTCTGGTCTTTAAGCCTCTCAACCTCAGCTGCCACAGCTGCAGCTGCCTCAAGCTGCAGACAGGAATGCAAAGTTTCTGGAAAGAGCTGGCCCCAGAGACAGACAAGTGTGTTAAGTGTGTGCACGTGTGGTGGCGGTGGTGAAGAGGTCGGGATGCAGGGGTGAGTAGGGGGGTGGGCCCATGCTTCACCAACCTGGTCTGCAACCTCCAAGAAGGACAAACAAGCAAACCAATAGTCCACATCCTGTGCCTCAACTCCAGTCTGCCCTGACATCTGGAAGTTCATGCTGATGTTTGCTGTCATGTCTTCACCTGCAAAGGTGAAGTTCATTTGCTTCGGTTGGGTCCTGAGAGGAGCTGGGCTCTATGGAGAGAGGGAGGGAGCTACCATCAAAGGCCTACTGTGTGCCAGAGCAGCCATAAGTGTATGCAAAAGTTACATCTCACTGAATGCTCATATAACCTGATGAGTTAGGGATTAGTAACCCTTTTACAGAGAAGGAAATTGAGCCACAAAGAGGGAAACTAAACTTGTCCAAGGTCACACAGCCAGGCCAGGGGCAGAACTGGGATTCCAACCATTGTCTGGGGGGCTGGTTGTCTTTGGTCAGGGGTACCTGGATGGATTCATGCTAATGGTTCAATAAGGCGACCAGGGCCAGGAAGCGGTGATCGCTATTACATTTTGCCCATCCAACCCAAGTCTGGGAACATTAATAAGAAAAACGCTCACGCATGTGCAGCCCACGTGCCCATCAAGCAGGAGGGAAAAAAAAGCAAAGGGATAGTTGCCCAAACTAGTTCCGGGCCCGCCTCTATGTTAATGACATGCAGATATATGTAAATTTGCACAAGCAACAGCTCAAACCTTTGGAAGGAATGGGATGACCTGGAAGTTGCTATGGAAACCCAAAAGCGACACCCCCTCCCACCTCACGGCACAAGCAATTGCAAAGACATGTGTGAAAAGACCCAGGGTTCCGCGCTCAGAGCCCAGAGGATCCCGGAGTCGCAGAGGGTGTGAACCGGAAGGTCCGGCCGAGCCGGCGTACAGCCCATGAGGCTGATGCCTGGAGAAAGTCGCAGGCAGAGCAGCGTCGTGGGGCACCTTCCACTAAAACCGAGGGGAGCTTCGTAGCCCTTCTAGAACCTGGCGACTCCTACTCCGGCCTAGCAACGTGAGCCCCGCCCAGCGTTGCCTAGCAACATCCGTCGAGCCTAGCAACCGCCGGCCTCGCCCCCTAGCAACAGCTTGCCTAATCCACTGTCCCGGCCTCCTCTGCCCAAAGAAAAACGAAGGGCTTGTGGACTAAGTCCAAATGGTAGGGTGGGCGTCATATTGACCAGCCCCCAGCCTCGAGGCAAGACTGACAGATTTCGGGGCCCATCTATAGCCCTCTCCTCACGGAGGGGAAAACTGAAAGGAAGTCCCAGCCCAGAGTACAGAGCCTGTTCTTTCCTGAGTGCCCCGGGGAGGCAGCAAATGCTCTCGGCTCCCTGGAAAAGAGCCCTGCACCTCGAGGGAGGCGGTGCACAGGCGTCTCCTGCTCCAACTGCTCCAGCTTCAACTGCGTTAGGAAAGTGACCCAAATTGCCGACTCGGAATAGAGCCGTAGGTTGCATAGTAATTTGTGTCATTTACATACAGCACAGAGGCTGTGGCGCTCACAAGCTGCTCCGCAGGAAAAGTTCCCGAAGGAGCTCCGAGCCCTCTGCTGGTTCACCTGTCTTTTCCCTTCTCTCAGTCCCACCCCGCACCCCACCCGGCTTGCAATCCCTTTGGCTAAAATCCCACACCTCGCCCCACCCCCAGCTCGGCCTCAAGCCTAGCCAGCCCCGACCTACATCCCAAGGCCGAGGGCCCCCTCTGCTGTCATCCGCGGGTAGGACAGTAGTAGAGCTCATGGGGCCGGAGAAGAGGGACTCCCCCAAACACACACCCAATCCTCCCCAGTCCAGCATGGTCCAGGGTGAGGCTGGTACAAAGGTAGACTTTGAGAAGGGATGCATATGGGTACCCCCCTTTAGGCCCGGATGAACGGTGTAGTCCTGTCAGAAGTTCTCCAAGAGCCAGGCCCTGCTTAAGCATATGGGTTAGGCAGCCAAGGGCAGCTAGTTTGCAGGTCAGTCCCCAGACTCAGTTCACCGGAGGTACAGCCCACACTGATACACTTTACAGTTGTAGCTGCTGTTAGTAACTCACTCCAGACCCCAGGCAAAGCAGCACCATCCAACCCTAACACCTGTCTGAGTGTCCCACTGCCAGACCAAGGACTGGAGACTTGGCTTTCTCCAGTCCCAGTGTCCGGGAGCTGGCAAGAGATACAGAGAGGAGTCATCCTTTACGGCTCTCCCAACTTCCTCAACAGACCCACACACAGATACACACACACGCTCAGACCGATGCCCACAGACACAGAGACACATAGGGACTACGGTGGTGGCCCCCGCCCCCGCCCCAACTATCCAAAGGAAAAAAGCTTGGTAACTGAACATTTTGACCAGCATTGCAACTTGCTCTCCCATTTCTCCCTAACAATCTGTACGTGCTTTTGCCCCTTCAAAAGCCTAATTCTCTCTCCGCCCCCCACCCTAGTCCTGCCTTCTCTCCCATTACCTCTTCTTCCTCCTAGTTCAGAACACTTACAAAATGCTTCCAGAACCCACTGTGGCAACAGCTGTGACAAAGTGATCACAAAGTGATGGTTAGGAACCTCAGACAAGCAACTGGCAAGGCTGCCCGCTCCATCCCAGCACCTTGGCTTTGCTGCCACACCTGTGCACAAAAACTCCCAGATACACCCACCCCAACCCACACCTGGCCAGGCCCAAGGCTCTCCTGCCCAGCCAGCAGATGTGTGCAGTCTCAACTTTGTCAAAATCTTTATTGAACCAACGATCAACACTAGACAGCTTGCAGAACAGGAAACTCAAAAGGGGCAGGTGGGCTGAGCTGGCCCTCCCTTCCTCTGCCCCTGCCTCTCCCTGGAAGAGCTCAGGGTTCAGCACCGGTGAGGGAATCAAAACCCCTCTTCTGGTGGGTAACGAGGGTCACATTTCTTCAGGGAGGGGACATTCAGAGCCAGCTCCATCTGTAGGTCCCAAAGAGGAGTCAGAGGCTGGGCCAGGGGGCTGGCCAAAGAGGCCAAGAATCCCACAGGCTGCGTGGGGCTGAGGAAGAAGCTCCTGGCCCGAGGATCTCAGGGAGGCTTGGAGCTGGTGGCTCATAGTCACCAGGCATTCAAGATGCTGGAGCAGGGCTTGTTGGGGACAGGAAGCCCTGTGGAGGTGCTGGCCGTGACCAGCTGGTGCTGCTGAATAGGGGTGCCAGGACTGGCACCAGCCTGGTCTCATGGGCCCCTGCCCTCGCCCAGGACTCTGCCAGGTGTCAGGCTCTTCCCACAGTCTCCCCCTGCCTCCAGGGGGCCTCTGCCAAGCACAGATTCCCCTTGGAGCCAGGCTGCCTCTGCCGCAGCTTTGCTGAAGGGCACCCCCTGGGGGAGGGGACCCCTTCTGAGCCACATCTGGCCTCTTGGCCTTCCGCTGGTGGCATCTCATCTCCACTTTTTTGTTGAAGGAGACCGTCTTGCGAACCTTCCCCAGCAAGGGGCTGAACTCTGCTGTGTCTGGAAGCCCTGCCTTGGGGAACAGCACAGCCAGCAGCAGGCTCGAGTGAGTGGTTTCCAGGCCTGGGGAAAGAGGAGAGGAGAAACCGAAGGCCTGGTGGGAAAGGACGCACAGCCCCGCAGAAGCTGCATTCTGGCTGTGGCAGGCGGTCTGGAGGTTAAACCCCAAGAAGAGCTTTCCAGCAGTGAGACGGAGGCCCGTGAGATGCTGGGAAACATAAGTGGAAGGGTGAACCTGTCTCGGAAGATTTGCTCTCAGTGTGGGAAAGGGTTCACCTGGCTGAAGGTAAGCATGGACAGGTTGACCCTACCCCAGTTTCTTCCTCTGTGAAATGAAGAAACTAATAGCACCATTCTGCTAGGGTTATTCTGAGGACTGAATGAATTACTATAAATAAGCTTTTGAAAAGATTTTATGTATTCATTTTTAGAGAGGAGAAGGGAGGGAGAAAGAGAGAGAGAGAAACATCGATGTGTGGTTGCCTCTTGTGCACCCCCCTACTGAGGACCTGGCCCTCAACCCAGGCATGTGCTCTGACTGGGAATTGAACTGGTGACCCTTTGATTCGCAGGCCAGAACTCAACCACTGAGCCACATCAGTCAGGGCTATAAATATGCTTTTAGAACACTGTAGGCCATGTGGTAAGCAATATACAACTGTGGGCTACTGTTGTTATTGTTATCACATTTTCCTATCTCAACAGTTCTCTTCTGAGACACGCCTGCCTTCAGAGAGACATGGGCAACTGTGTCAACAGTGCCTCATCTGGTCACCAAGTAAGGGGAGGCAGAGTCCGGATGGGCATGGAGGCACCCACCTGGGCCTCCAAGAGAGCGCAGTCTGGTGGGCAGGGGCTGGAAGGCGGGCAGGGGCAGCAGGACCACCATCACGTGTTCCACGGCTGCCAGGCCGTGGCACTGCTTATTGTTGAGGTAGGAATAGAGCAGGCGGCAGTTCTGGGTGTCCCGAGCCCCCTGCGGGCACAGCCTGACCGCGCAGAAGTCCTGGAGTTACAGGAGAGAGCGCAGCTGTAGGAGCAGTCATCCTTCGCTCCTGCGAACACCCCGCTTTTACCCAACCCCCTGTGAGGGCGTGTGTCTCCATTTTCCAGAGAAGAAAACAGAGGGGCTTGCCCAGGGCCCCACAGTGAGCCTGCAGTCCCAGGGAGAACTCGACCGGAACATCCCGCACCAAGCCCCTGCTCCAGAGGAGGGGAGAGAGGGAGCACGCACAGAACTGGGGCTATGGTGCTAGCAGAAGAGGGGATGCCCAAGGGTGGGCGGTCACCTTGGCCTTGGCTGGGCAGGTGCTGGCCAGAAGGTCCCAGATGGTGTTCGGAGGGATGCAGCCTGCTGAGCAGATCACCTGGGGCAGGGCCTGAGGGCAGGGAGCACGGCCAGTCAGGCCCTCCAGATTCTCATCGAGGTAGGGCAGACTAAATATCAGCTACTTGAAGGCCACAGGCTGTGGCAAAGACGATGGGCAGGCGATCTATCAGGACCCCAAGTGGCTGCCCCGGAAGCCCTAATCACCCCTGGAGTCCTGTTGTCACAGCCAGTCTCCTGCGACTTCTCAGAAGCCCCTCACTCCCTCCTCTGACCTGCTGTCATCCTGCCTTTCAGCTGATCATTAGTCACTTCACAGGCACTCCTAAAGTCCCCTCTGGGCCAGGGAGGCATAGACCCCTCTCCTGGGTCCCTCTTGCTTTATGCCTTGGCTCCTCCGCCCATGTGTGACTCTGCAGGAGTGGGGCTGGAATCTCAGTTGTCCCCATGTGTAGTGCAGAGCCAGGCACAGAGAATCTTAGAATGAGTAAAAGAATGAATGAATGAATGAATGAATGAATGAATGAATCGAGTGAATGAGGGTGTGAGGAGCTGACTGGGCTGGTCAGTGTGTGAGGGACTCCCTGACGAACAGGGCAGTAGTACCGTGATGAGCCAAGAGCTGAGTCCTGAGACCAGCTGGGCCTTGACCCGGAACTGCTTAATGGAGAACATGTGCAGAGCCCCCTCCCAAGGCGGCAGGCTGGACAGGGCCTTCGTAGGTCCAGCAGACATCTGGAGCCTGGAGGGAGGGACAGAGAGACAGGGCCAGGAGGAGCAGGTCATCAGGGCTTCCCCAAGCATCTCCTTCCTTTTCAAAGGAGATTCTGCGTCTTCACTGTGGGTCCGAGCATGGCCTCACGCAGGGGGAAACCAGCAGGCCAGAAGGATTAGATCCACTGCACAGACACGGAAACTGATACCCACAGAAGAGGTAAGATTCGTCCAAGGCCCCACAGAAAGAAAAGCTCATGTTGTGTCTGCTGCCCCGGCAATAGCCCCCTCCACTGTGCTGCCCCCAGCTCCACACCTGTCCTGGGGCTCCATGGGAGGTTTCTCCCCGAGCTGGGGCATCTCTGAAGAGGACACAGAGGCTGGGCTTGGGGCTGTCTGAAAGACACTGTCCTCCACCCTTCTGTTGGCCTTGGAGAAGCCTGGTAGCTCACATAAGGACTTCCAGTCTGCAAACGGGAGAGGCAGAGCTGAAACAGGGGCAGGCAGCTAGGCTGAAGCCAGCCCAGGGCTCTCCCCACCCTGCCACCTTCTTCCCAGGCCACGCATCCCTGTTACTACAAACCCCACACTCGGCTCCAGCCTGCCCTCCCTGCCCCCATCCCGGGCCCTCCCCGTGTCTCCTACAACCCTTGCAGAGGTGGCCGCCGAGGTCTAAGTAGCAGCGCTCATGCTGCTCTGTGTGGTTTTCCTGCTGCTCCGTGGGGCCCTCCTGCTGCTCCGTGGGGCCCTCCTGCTGCTCCGTGGGGTTCTCCTGCCACTCTGAGGGGCCTTCCTGCTTCTCCGTGGGGCCTTCCTGCCACTCCATGGGGTCCTTTGACGTGGCAGGCAGGGCCAGTGGGCTGCAGTGGATGGGCACCACGGGTTCCTGGGAGGCACAGGAGGAGAGGGGTGCACTGGGAAGGCAGCACGGGAGTCAGGAGCCCTCCATGAGCAGAAAGCCTCAGGGACACAGTTTTATTTTTCCAAACAGCATGTTCTTTTCTTACAAAAGTACTGTGAACTTGTTAAAGAATATTTGGAAGACACAGAAAATTCAAAAATTAAAAAGAAAAAAAATCACCCACCCCTTGTCCTCAGAGACAACCGTTGCTGTTCTGGGTATTCCGTCAGAACAGTTTTTCGATACACAGGTTCTAGGGATCCTTTTACTAAAACAGCTAGGATCAAATACTCAGCCTAACAGGCGTATACCTCAGAGGCATTGTGGGTTCGGTTCCAGACCTCCCCCAATAAAGCAAATATTGCAATTCACGGAGTCAGAGCCACTTTTTGGGTCCCAGTGGGTAACAAAAGTTATGTTTACACTGCTCTACAGTCTATTAAGTGTTCAATGGCTTCATGTATTAGCGAATGTATCTATCTTAATTAAGAAGACTTTATTGTGGTTAACACACAATACAATATACAGATGATGTGTTATAGAATCCTACACCTGAAACCTATATAATTTCATTAGCCAATGTCACCCCAATACATTCGATACATTTAAAAAAAAATAGAGCAAAGTATGAAATACGGGAAGACAATATGCTCATGTATCATAGTGTACCCAGAATAAATTTTAGGTTCCCCCAAATAAAACAAGAAGAATACTTTTGTTTTAAAAATCCTAGCCATCATCTGAGCCCACTGGAAAAATTGTGGCAACAAACTCACTCGACACAGGGTGCCCACAAACCTTCCATTTGCAAATAAGTAAGTAAGTAAATAAATAAATAAATAAAGCAAGTGATGCCTGCAGAGCACGGTAAAGCAAAGCACAACAGAGGAGGTGAGCCTGCACTCTCACCCTGCCCGTGAATTACAGCGGAGGCATCTGCCACGTGCCATGGGCCCTGAAGCTATCACACAGACGGGGCGGGTGGCAGTGCACTCGTGTCACCTTGGTTGCTAGATGACCGGCTCATTCCCAGGTTTTCACTGTTACAAATGGTCCCAAGGACATTCTCGCACAGCAAGGATTTTCCTAAACTCTCAATGATTTCCTAAGGACAAGTTCTCAGAAGCAGATGACAGAATCGAGGAGAATGCATATTTATTTGTAAGACTCCTGATGCCCATTGCCAAGTCACCTTTCTCCTCATAAGAGAAACAGCTTCAAACACAAGCACTGCTTTAGGAAGATTCAAGGAGATCTTTTAAACTCTCCTCTTGCCCCTGTAAACCACCCCCAGAGTGGAGCCAAGGCTCAGGCTCTGGAGTCAGACCTCGGGCTTCAAACCTCAGCTGCCCCTCTGCCAACCAGCTGACCCCCAGGACAAACGGCTCCAGGTTCCTCACCCAGGAAACTGGCACCACTCGCCTCATGGGTCATTGTGAGATTTGAATGAAGGAGGCATTCTTTGTAAAGGGCACACACAGCAGGTGTTCCAATAAGGAGTAAAGATTGTTGTGTGTTATCTTCCTTCTCCTACTCTGCCAGCCCCTTGCTCTTCCTCTCTCTCCTCTCCAGGTCTCCGAGCTCCTCCCCCTCCCCCTACACTCATCTCCACCCCTGAGGGCTCCTCTCTGCACAGGCAGCAGCTCGGGTTGTTGGCCTGGCTATGGGTTGGAAGGAGCAGGGATTTTTGTCTGTCGTGTTCACTGCCATTTCCCAAGTGAGCATGGCTCAAGGGGACTTCCCTGCACTCCCCGTCCCAGGCACACTGCTGCGACTGGGGTGGACGTCTGACCCACGGAACACCCCACAAAAGCCAGAGCCGCCTTCTGAGAGCGACTGAAGGGAGCCACAGGCGAGTTCTGACAGCTGCAGGGCATAAGCTGATGGGTTCATTGACTGGAGGGCCAATGGGCCACCCTGTGAGGCCACGTTCAAGACGGAGGGGCCAAGGAGGAGGAAGGAGCAGGGTGGACACGCGGATAGAGCAGATCCCAGCGATAAGAGGATACTCCGCACAAAAATGCCACCTCAAACAACACGGCCTTCCTGCAAACTGAAGATCTGCGATCTGGGGGGACTGCGGTTCTAGGACCACTTACGTGGGTCCCTTGGGGTTAGGCCTAAAGGAGGGGGACCGGCATTGAGAAGGAGCTGCCAGGCCCCGTCCAGCAGCTGTCCTGCCCCAGGCTCATCTAGACCCGCGTGTTAGGTCACTACCCAGATTCTCAGTGAAGACCGTGGACTGCAGAGGAGTCAGCTGAGTTGCCCGAGACAACACAGCTGGTGAAGTAAGGACTGGGCTCCCGGACATGGACCCTGCCGGCACCAGGTCAGGCCCCCACTCACCACCAGATCTTCCAGGGTCAGCATTTGGTCCGTGTCCCGCAGAATCTCGACTTCACCCTTGTGGGTCAGCTTGGAGGTCGGGAGGCTGCAGGACTCCTTCTGTTGCTGCTCAATGATCTCCAGGCCCTGGTAGGAGGAGCAGCCCAGACTCAGCCGGTTTCAGGGGTCTCTGGCCACCAAGAACCCACGGGCCCACTGTCCTCCATTGAGGCCTGTCTCCTGTGGTCCTCTTCCGTAACAGCCCTTCCTTCCGCCACACTTTTGCTTCTCCCATTCCCTTCACCTGGAAAGCCCTCTACCCTCTGCCCTACCTGTCCACAGTCCACTCATTCACCCTCCAACATATGCTCTGCCTCCTCCAGGAAGCCTCCTTGAACTTCGCTTTTACGCACAAGTCAATTCTGCTTCTGACTGCACCCCACCCTCCATCCTGGGAAGAGTGCAGGCTCTGGAGTGCCGGCTGGATCATTAATAAGACCCACGAGGTAGAGCAGCCTTGGGGAGGCGCTTCACTGCTCTACGCCTCAGAGGATCTGTTCTCTAGGAATTAAGTCGAGAGCACTGTATTAAACAGCAAATGTAGAGCGCTTAGCCTGGAGCCCGGCTCATAGTAAAGGCTACTTGTGACCCTTATCCTTGATCGATGCCATCCTCTCTGAAATGTTTCCCGAAAGCCCGTCTCTCCCTGTGTGACCACCCCGGGAGGACAGAGGTCCTACCCTCCCCGGCAGTGCTGGCTTCACGGGCACGGGCTCTGGCGCGGCCGCACGGGGCTCTGTTTAGAAGGGCCCCATGCTCCGTGCTGCCATCACCTTGAAATTCTTAATAGTTGTCGGACAGAGTACCCCGCATTTTCATTCAGCACGGACCCCACAAACCATGCAGCGGCTCCCGCTCCCTGGTCCCCCACAGTGCCTGGATAAAAGTTCAACCTCCAGTGGACGGACTCACCTAATGGATTCTAGTAATTAATTCTAATCAGAATCTACCAGTGTCCACCAGAACAGGAGCCTTAGCACCCGCTCCATCCTACTGCCCCCGCCCCCAGGTCAGCCCCTCCCTCTCTCACTGGGCCACAGAAACCACCACGCAAACACCCAGAAACCAACTCGGTGCCCACGCCGCCCCTGCCTCTGAACAGTTCCCAGGTAGGGGCGGGGGCATGGACACGGTACATGAGGGGGCAACTGTGAAATGTGGGGGTGGTGGGGTCCCTCACCCAGCCTGGGGCACCAGGAAGACTTCCAGCCTTTCTGGGGCTTCTGAGGCCGGAACGGGAACAGGCACCCGGGGGTCTATCCCCCACAGATGATGGATGTCGGTCATGGACTCCAGGGTCTGGACCATCACCCCCAGGCCCGCTCCCAGCCCAGCTCCACAGGAAAGCCAGTGGAAGACAACTCCCCCTGGGAGCTTCGCTTCTTCGCCAGGCTCCCCATCCCTGCTCCCTCTCACTTTGGCCTCTTTCCCTAATTTGTTTGGTGGAGTCCCTCTGACTCTCCTGCCACCTGCCTGCTCTTTCTTTTCATCTCCTTGTTTCTCCATTTCTCTCCGCCCATGCTCCCACATCTCCCACCTTCCTCCTCGCTCTGGCTCATGCCTCCCATCCTGCTCCATACTCGGGTCACCCCTCCCCACGCGCTCCCCCCATGTCCTGCCACCTATCCTGACCTGACCCACGGACCCAACAAAGAGCTCACCCTTTTCTCCTCCTGGTCCCGCCAGCGAGCCAGCTCTTGGGGGGCCAGCTGAAATGAGTTCATCCGCACCAGGCCGTGGGGGGTGACCTCTCCATGGACCACTTTGAGAAACAGGTCCTGCAGGGGCAGGGGCAGGGGCAGGGGCTGCACCACACCACTCTGAGAGCCCCCACCCCAACATCCCGCCAGGGCTCCGTGCCTCTGAGAGGGGCCTGGCCCAGACGCAAGTCCTGCTCACGTGGTTCCTGGGGTCACGCAGGTTGAACAGCAGGCTGCGGTACTTGTTCTTGTAGTGGCAGTTGGTGGCTCGTGTCAGTTCAAAGAGGGCTGCCTCGATGCCAGCAGCGATGCCCTCCACCACCTCCTCACTCAGCGCCAGGTGTGGGAGCTGCCGGAGGCTGCAGGCGACAAGGACAGGGCCATGGCACTGCACCGCGAGGCCGGCCGGGCACTCAGGCCAGGAGGGACAGAGATGGGCGGGAAGCAGGGTCTGGGCGTGCTCCTGCATGAACCCATTCATTCTCACCCCAAGTCCGTGAAGGGTAAGTGTTAGCGTTCTCCATTTACGAAGGGGTAACGGAGACTCAGAGAAGGCTACTGGCTCGCTCGAGGCCACATGGTTAGTGGCAAAGCAAGATCTGACTGCTCAGCCCTGGCCCATGGAAGTAAGAAATGTACAAGGCGGGGAGCCTGGAGGAGGGTAAGGCATGAGCCAAGGCGGAGGTCGGGGCCTTTGCCCTGGATGTAGCCTTGTGTCTGCCGTTGACTTGCTGGGCAGCTTTTGCAACGTCCTGCCCTCTCCAGACCGTGGTCTCGCCATGGGTGAAGGACAGCCCTGGGCTCCGATCTCTGAGGTGCTCCCACCACAGAGTCTCATTGTGTCTGAACACATTTGCTGAGGGTGACATCCGTGAGGACCTGAGCAGATGCCGAGAGCTGTGGCGGCTTAATGGGAAAGCATGACCTTGAAGCCAGAGAGGCCCAGGGTCAAATTTCAGCTCTCTTCTCACTCTTGGTGCGGGCAAGTGACCTCACGGCTACACAGTGAGTTAGTCACGCACACAGAAGCCCTTACAATGCGGCCCGGGCCAGGGAGGGAACAGTAGCCTGTCGGGATGTTGGGGATGTCAGGGAAATGGGGAGCAAGGCCTTACCGACTCCACAGCACGTTCTGCATGACACGGACCACAGTGTCCCTTGTCCCAATATCCAGGAGAAGCTTCTCCTTTTGGAGTGGGAGCTGAACTGTGGGGAAAAGGGTTACAGGTCCAGGGGATGCTCAGGGGTAAAGGGAGGGAGTGACTCCGTGCTGAGGGGCTTAGGCAGGCAGAGGAGGGGGCCCACTCTCAGAGACCTGGCCCCCTATCTGTCTGAGAGCTGAGCCCAGGCAGCCCGCAGCCCGCGTCTCTCTGGGGAAGGACTACAAGCTGATTGGAGGGGGGCGCGGAGGGGAGGAAACATATCTTGTCCTCCAGGGCCTACTGGGCATGAGCCCCCTTCGGTTCCACCAGTCCCCGGAAGACAGGCGAATGCTGAAGGCACCACCCACGGCCCCTCACCTGAGTCTTCTCCCCAGTCCTGTTCACCCTGCTCCTCCTCTTCAGCCTCCACTGGGCTGCACTGTGGGGAGGGGGGCAAGGAACTGAGGCCGTGTCTTTGTGTCCAGCCTGCCGGCCCCCAGGGACACTGTTTCCCCCAGCCACACCCCGATTCCCACATTCTCCCTGACCCATGACCCAGAGAAGGCAGCCACGTGACAGGGACAGAAGCACTCACCCCTGGATCCTCAGCACAGGCCTCCTGAAGAGGAAGCCCCTCCTGCAAGGGAAAGAGTACCTGAAGGAGCAGCTGAGGTCCCTGTGGATCAGGGAGCCACTCCCAGACAGTGGGAGGGGTCAGAGAGGACACCAGAGCCCCACACCGTCCCTCCTGAGGGAGGCCACTGGAGGAACCTGGGATCACCAGGAACAAAAGTGGTCAACCACTCCCTCTCCAAATGCACTGGAGGCCCAGCCCCTCCCTCCCAGGAGAAAGAGCACACAGACCCCCCAGGCTGGCCAGCCAGGTGGCGGTCTAACCCTCTGGCTGCTGCATTCTGTGTGACTGTGAGCAAGTGACAGCCTCTCTCTGGGCTGCAATGGCATCTCTGCGAGTCGGGTGTGGAGGCGTCTCTCCACGGGACTCAGGGACATCACCTATGTAAACACCCTGTTCTGTACCTGGCACCCCGTGGGGCCCTGGGCCCTGGGCCTCTCCTTCCTTCTGGGCCTTTGGGCAGGTGAGGCAGAGCTGACCTCCATCATGCTGTCCAGAGGCCCCAGCTTTGGAGGCTGCAGCCCCCTTGCCTGGCCAAGGCTGATGGCCCCCAGGAGGTAGATCACTGCTCCAGAATCAAACTGCAGGGGGAGAACAGCACTTCAAAACCGAGCAGTGAGCGCTGAGGCTCTTCCCTGCTGAGGGCTCGCCTTACTGGTGACGGCTCACCCTCCCCCACCCCCGGACTGTCAGCTCCATGAGGACAGGGAATGCGTCTCAGTCCCCGATACATTTCCAATGCCTACAAAAGCCTGGCATGTAGTAGGGCTCAGTACATGCTTGCCATCTGGCCCGTGTCCCAAGAAGGGAGCCTGTCTTCATTCCCACCTCTCCTCTTCCCCACTCACTCTGATACATTCAGAGTTAACCAGACCCTTCTCAGCCTCCTGACCAGAGACGCATCTCATCAGCTGCTGAGTGGGCGTTTGGTCTTCTTTTTAAAAAATATTTCTTAATTGATTTTTGGGGCGGTGGGGGGAGAGAGACACACACATTGATTTGCTGTTCCACTGATCTATGCATTCATTGGTTGATTCTTGTACGTGGCCTGACCAGGGATCAGATCCATAACCTTGGCATATCTGTATGATGCTCTAACCAGATGAGCTACTTGGCCAGGTGGTCCTGATTTTTAATGAGCTGCAGAATCTATCCTGCTCTCCTTTGTGCCCTGGTTGCCAGGAAGCTCAGTGTAAACTTTGAGCCTTGCAGTTGTACCTTTCCAAGATGAGTAGAGGGGGAGGGGTTACTGTAACAAGATTTCCCTTTCTCCTTCCCTTTTTCTTGCTTTCTTTAGGCTTGTATCCCATTTAAAGTATGTTTTGATCCATTTAATTTATTACAAACTATGGGGACTTGTTTTGAAAGCAAACGGGGCTGGAAAGGGATGGTCAGGTTCCACAGTCTGGGGAAGACTGGAAGTCGGAGATTGGGCATCATGGGGAGTGGGGAGTATGAGGGTGATGCGGGAGCATAAGGGAGCAGAGAAAGGCAGGGGCTGGGATTGCCTCTGATGTGGAGAGCCCCATCCCCCACCCCACCAGACCTGGGAGAGGGAGGAAGAAGGGTAGTAATAAAAAGTAAAAAACCTACGTAACACACATGCTTCACCCCATGGGGCATTTTCATTTCCTCCTTGGAGAGAAAGAGGATGCAGAGGTTAGAATACAGAGGACCCAGCGACCCACTGCAGGGAGTTAATAAGAAGACACTCACACAGAGGTGGGAGATATATGTTCGGTGTTCACTGAGTTGTCATTTACAACCAAAATGAAATGAGTGAGATCAAATGTCACCCAAGGGGGATGGTTCGTAAACAGTGGTACACCGTACTATGGATTCCGTGTGGCCATTAAAAAGAGTGAGTCATAAAAACTACAATTCATCAGGGGCTTAGCAGGTGACTGGCCTTGGAGGGAACACATCACATGTGATCTTACAAAGATCTCAGAACACTATGAGGTATGTGCTATTTCTAACCCCATTTTACAGAGGAGGAAACTGAGGTTCAGAGAGGGTCCGAAAAGTCCTGCCGCTACTAAGCAGCAGAGCTGGGAGTAGAACCTAGTTCTGTCTGACTCCAAAGCACTTAACTGCTGAGCTCTGCAGAAGCACTGGCTGGTGTGGAAACATGTCATGCTGTACTATTAGGACAAAGAGAGAAAGAATAGCAGACAGAATCTATTGCATAAGCCCATTTATGTAAATATATATTTATAGATGCATAATAGAGGTTACCTCTGGGGAATGAAATTCCAGGGGGGGACTTTTGCTTTCCTCTTGTAGACACTCGGGTACTTGTGCTATTCAAAACGAGCACGTCTTTCGCTTATAATAGAAAGCATTTTTTTTAACTAAAAAACAAGTCCAGAACAATGTGTGTCGTGTGCTACCACTTGCATTAAAAAGAGAGAAAAAAGAATTTTTAAATTTGTATTTGCTTGAATCTGCATAAAATATCTCTGGAAGTATCCAGCAGAACCTAATCACCGAGGCTGCCGACAGGAAGGGGACTGGGAGCTGGGAAGGAGCCTTCTCACCTTTTTTTCTTTTTAAAAACCATGGGAATGAATCAGTCTTCCAAAAAAAAAATAAATTGAGAAAGAGTGGGGGGCGGGGGGAAGTAAATGGGACATCTGGGAAGGAAAGCAGGGAAGGTATTAAGAATAGCCCTTCACGATTGAAGACCCTGTGGCCGGCCTCTGTCTCGGGGGTCCGCAGAGTGGCATCATCAGCCCCCAAACGACCAGCAGCAATCAGACCAGCAAAGACATTCAGGAGTGCCAACCTTTTGGCATCTCTGGGCCACACTGGAAGAAGAGTTGTCTCGGGCCACACATTGAGTAAGTGAACACTAACAAAAACAGTCAACTCTCATAATGTTTTAAGTAAATTTATGGTTTTGTGCTGGGCCTTATTCATAGCCATCCTGGGCTACGTGCGGCCCATGGGCCGTGGGTTGGACGCCCCTGCTAGATACTGGACTTCTCAGACCAGAATACAAAATACACATGTGTCACCTGCTTAACGAAATGAAAGGAGTCAAACATCTGAGCAAAAGACAAAAAATACATATTTTAAAAATGATCAAGCAGATTTCACTGAGAACCAAACACAACTTCTGGGAATAAAAAATACAATAACAATAATTAAAATTAAACATTCAATATATAGACTTAATAGCATATTAAACACAGCTGAAATAAGGTAGCAAACTAGAGTAAAAAGGACTAATTAATCTAAAATTCCGAGAGAGAGGGGAGAGAATGGGGCAGAGGTAATATTTGAAGATACATGGCTAAGCATTTTCCTTAATTGATAAAAGACAACAATTCACAGATTCGAAAAGCTCAGTGGATTTCAAACACGACAAGTTAAAGTAAATCCACACCTACACGAATGATAGTGAAACCACTCAACACCAGTGATAAGCAGATCCTAAAAGCATCGAGAGAAAAAATGATAGCTAACACTTGAATCACACTGAAAATGTGCTACCACTGTTTTGCATGCTTTACATGTTGGTTCATGTTATCCTCACCACAACCCTCTGAGTTAGGTACTGGTATTATTACTGACCCCATTTTACAGAAGAGGAAACTGAAGCACAGAGAGGTTAATCAGCTTGCCCAGCATCACACAGCTAGTAAACCAAAGCACTAGGATTGAAATCCAGGCAGTCTGATTCCAGAGGTCACACCTTTAACCACTACTCTATAATGCCCTTCCCCAGAAGACATTTCACCTACAATTAGAATAACAGCTCACTTCTTAACAGTAATATGGAAGGCATAACAGAATGATATTTTTAATGTGCTTAAAGAAAATAACTATCAAGGACTTCCGGCCAAGATGGAAGCATAAGTAGATACACTTTGCCTCATTGCACAACCAAAAGAAGGACAACAATAAATTTAAAAACAAAAAAAATGCCCTGGCTGGCATAGCTCAGTGGATTGAGCACGGGCTGCGAACCAAAGCATCACAGTTCGATTCCCAGTCAAGGCACATGCCTGGGTTGCAGGCCACGGTCCCTAGCAACTGCAAATTGATGTTTCTCTCTCTCTCTCTTTCTCCCTCCTTTCCCTCTCTAAAAATAAATAAATAAAATCTTTAAAAAACAAAACAAAACAAACTCACAACTGCCAGAAAATCGAACTGTATAGAAGTCCAACAACCAAGGAGTTAAAGAAGAAATATTCATCCAGACTGGTAGGTGGGGCAGAGATGGGCAGCTGGGACGGAGAGGACACGTGGCAAGGTGGCAGCTGGAGGACCAGGTGGGTGAGGTGATAGCTGGCGGATGGGATGGTCCCACATTCACATGAGAATAAACCAGGAGGAACAACTGGGGAGCGAGACAAACCATGCAACCCAGGGTTCCAGCAAAGAGAAATAAAGCCTCAAATCTCTGGCTGTAAAAATCTGTGGGAATTGCAGTTGCGGGAGAAACTCCCAGCATCACAGGAGAGTTCGCTGGAGAGATCCACAGGGTCCTAGAACATACACAAACCCACCCACCCAGAAATCAGCACCAGGAGGGCCCAGTTTGCTTGTGGGTAGTAGGGGAGGTAAGTGAAGACCTGCCAAGAGCTGAGCAAGCAACATTGTGGGGTTCCCTCTCAGACCCCTCCCCCACATACAGCACTGCAACACAACAACATGAATTGTCCCGCTCTGGCAAATACCTAAGGCTCCACCCCTTAGAAGTAACAGATATGCTGAGAAAAAAAATATGGCCCAAATGAAAAAACAGATCAAAGCTCCAAAACAGAACTAAGCAATGAAGAGACAGCCAACCTATCAAATGCAGGGTTCGAAACATTGGTAATCAGGATGCTCACAGAAATGGTTGAGTATGGTCACAAAATAGAGGAAGAAGTGAAGACTATGCAAAGTGAAATAAAGCAAAATATAGAGGGCACCAACAGTGAAAGGAAGGAAACTGGGACTCAAATCAGCAATTTGGAGCAGCAGGAAGAGATAAACATTCAACGAGAACAGAATGAAGAAACAAGAACTCAGAAAAATAAGGAGAGGCTTAGGAACCTCCAGGACAACTTTAAACACTCCAACATCCAAACCAGAGGGGTGCCATAAGGAGAAGAGGAAGAGCAAGAAATTGAAAATTTATTTGAAAAAAGAATTGGAGAACTTCCCCAATCTGGCAAAGAAAATAGACTTCCAGGAAGTCCAGGAAGCTCAGAGTCCCAAAGAAGTTGGACCCAAGGAAGCATACACCAAGGTACATCATAATTACAGTACCCAAGATTAAAGATAAGGAGAGGATCTTAAAAGCAGCAAGAGAAAAGGACACAGTTACCTACAAAGGAGTTCCCATAAGACTGTCAGCTGATTTCTCAAAAGAAACCTTACAGGCAAGAAGGGGCTGGAAAGAAGTATACCAAGTCATGAAAGGCAAGGACCTACATCCAAGATTACTCTATTCAGCAAAGCTATCATTTAGAATGGAAGGGCAGGTAAAGTGCTTCCCAGACAAGGTCAAATTAATGGAGTTCATCATCACCAAGCCCTTATTATATGAAATGTTAAAGGGACTTATCTAATAAAAAGAAGATGATTAAAAATGAACAATAAGCCCTGGCAGGCGTAGCTCAGTGGATTGAGCGTGGGCTGCAAACCAAAGTGTCACAGGTTCGATTCCCAGCCAGGGTACATTCCTGGGTTGCAGGCCATAACCCCCGGCAACCACACATTGATGTTTCTCTCTTTCTCTCTATCCCCCTCCCTTCCCTCTCTAAAAATAAATAAATAAAATCTTTTTAAAAAATGAACAATAAGATGACAACAAACACAGAACTATCAACAACAACAATAACAAAAAAATAAACTAAGGATACAACTAGAAAGGAACAGAATCACAGAAATGGAGATCACATGGAGGGTTGTCAGTGGGGAGAGGGGAGACTGAAGGAAAAGGTACAGGGAATAAGAAGCATAAATGGTAGGTACAAAGTAGACAGGGGGAGGTTAATAGTATAGGAAATGGAGAATCCAAAGAACTTATACGTATGACCCCTGGACATGAACTAAGGGGGAAGGGAATGCTGGTGGGAGGGGGGAATAAAGGGGAGGGAAAAAATGGGACAACTGTAATAGCATAATCAATAAAATATATTTTTTAAAGAAGAAGAAAATAACTATCAATTGTGGACCCAAGCAAAATCTTTTCTGAGAATGAGGATAAAATAAAAGTATCATAGAGAAAATTGAGTTATTATTTTTCGTGATAATTTAATTTTTATCAGTAAACAAAATGTTAAAGGACAAACTGGAGGCAGAAGAAAGGAAACATGATCCCGGATAGAAAAGCTGAGAGGCAAGGAGGAATTCTGAGCAAAAAAGTGATAAATATGTTGTTAAATCTGAAAAGCATTGATTTATGACACTATAACAACCATGTGTAATTTGTGGGATTAAAAAAACAATGACTTAGGACCAACTAGTGGATAACAACAGCACTTCGACAGGGAAGGTTCATGCTTGGAATTAAAGTATTCCAAGATCCTTACATCATTTCAGAGGAAGGTAGAGATAGTAACTACCTTTATACTTTAATAAGTTAGGTATTTGTGTTAAAATTTCTAAAATAACCACCAAAAGAATATAAGTGGGGCATAGAAAACTTCTACCCTACTAGTGGGATAAAGAAGAATAAGGAAAAAATCAATCTAAAAGGAGGGAAAGTATAGAAAGTGCAAAGCACAGAATAAGACAGTAGGATTAGCGTGAAAGAAATCAGCAATTAGAACAAATGGAAGCAGACTAATCCTGGAGATAAATAAAACTAATTATCAGAGCTTTAATAAAGGAAATCCAGTTACAAGATATTCAAAAGACCAGTTCCTAAAATACAACAATGCAAAAAGATAGAGAGGAAAAAATGGAATCATATGTGAACAGGGAACTACCAGCCAAAATACAGGTTTGTAGCTATATTAATATCAGATGAAACAGATCTGAAGGCAAAAAATAACTGGAAGCAAAGCCCATACTGCATAAGGCTCCAACCCGCCTTCTGCCTCTAGACTTTTGCACACGCTCCGCCCTCCTCTTGGCAGACCCTTCCCACCTTGTTAAACACCTGCTTCCTCTGCCCAGACCCAGCTCGGACAGCCCCCTCCTCTGCTCTACCGTGCCATAACACCCTCCCACCCACCCCTCCCCGGGAAAGACTCAGTTGCCCTCCGGGTATCCCGGGCCTGCTGGCCTCCAGTCTGTGCATCGACTCTCTGGTGGCTGGCCTCCCACGTCCTGCTTGTTGAACAAATTAGAACAAAGTCCCGATAAAAACACAACCCCCTCAGCCAAGCCTTTGGCAGCTTGCTCAGAGTGTGGACTCTTGAACCTTACAAGCCCGGATTCAAATCCTGGCCGCACCACTCACTTGCTGTGAGACCCTGAGTGAATCACTTACCTTCTCTAAATCCCTGTTTTCTTAATTGGCAAAGCAAGGGTATTAACACTGGCTTTTAATGCTATGGTGAGGATTAAGTAAGAGATGGTGACATATGTGAAGCTCCTTGTATACAATAAGAACTCAATAAAAAGCGCTATTCTTAGGTCACCCATCTGTTGGAAAGACACAGTCCTCCCTCACATACCTCCTGACACTCTGCAGCTACACACAGGACACCTGAGGCTGGGGCCTGGGTGGGGACAGAGGGGCTCTGTGCCTCCCTGGTTGTAAGGGACAGAGCAGGGGGCTCTGGCAGAGCTGCCCTCCCCACGTCCCCTGCCATCCAAAGAACAGCTCCAGACCTTGCTGGCCACTGCAGGGCTCAGGACAGAGAAGAAAATGGCGTTCCAACCCACCTCCCCACACCCCTTCAAGAGTCTCCACTTCAAGCCAGAGAAACACAACACAACCAACCTCACATACCAGATCCTAGCAGTTCTGGGACCCAGCTGACTCCCCCATGTCATAGTGGAGGAAACTAAGAGTCAGAGAAGAGACATCTTTCATCTCAGGTTGCCCTGTAGTAAGAAACAGAGCCTGACCTTGAACACCCCTGTCTGCCCCTGGCACAGGCCAGGCTGCCTCCAGAAGGTGCTAGGGCCCTCAAGGGGACTCCGGACCTGCTGGACACTATCCCCACACCCCGTCCTTAACCACCCACCCATCCCCGTCTTGCCCAGCCTCAATTCTCCTGCAGCTGGCACCAGTTGCCATGGCAACGGGTTATTTGGGATGCTGTGGGATGATGGGCTGTGCCGCAGAGTCAAGGATGGGGCCTGAAGGCGAGAACAGCCGTGGGCCGCTTCCAGCCAAGGCAGCCGGGCCCCTGGCTCCTCTGCCCGGCTCAAGCTAGCCTCTCAAACACTGTGGACCCAGGAACCCCAATTCTAGGCAGCTGGCCCAAACAACTAACGAGAGATGGGGAGAAGCCAGATGTGCAGCAATGTCCATCCCAGCATTACTTAGGGCAGGCAACACTGTGTGTCAATTGCAGGCAACATTCTTGAATATTTTTCTTGCACTGGCACCTTGCTACACGCCAAGCACATGTCAGCTCATGCTCCTCACCACCACCCTGTGAGACTGGCCAGAAAGGTGAGGTCACTTGCCTGGGTCACTCGGGTAGCGGCGAAGCCAGGACCCAGTGACAGTCTGCCGGCCCCCAGGCCTCGTGCTCTGAACCACACTGCAGAGGCAGGAGAGGAGAAGAGGGAGTCCCAGCCCGTCCTCTAGTCCTGGCAGGGCCTATGACAAATCCGTCTGTAACTGCTACGGTGTAGGACGCAGGGATTCACCCGAACAATACGTACCAACTTGGAAAAAGCTTCAAACACAGCGGTGCATGTGAACTAAACAAAGCACAAGCCCCAGAACAATGAGGTTTGTGTGAGCCTATTTATAGAGAAGAGGGCGCGCTATGTAGGTGTTCACACATGGGCAGAAGTTCACAGGAAGAAGACTGCTGACAGTGGTTCTCTGCAGGTGGAAGGCAACGGGGCTGCGAGGCAGTCAAAGGGATTTCTTCATTCTGCACTAACAATTAATTGTGAAAAAATTGAAATACCAAAAAATTCCAAGTTATAAAATTTGGCACACATGATCCCACTTCTAGGCAAAGATACATGCATAGAAAAAAAGGTGGCAAAAAGGACATATACCAAAATGTCAGCAGGAAGTAGCTCTGAAAGTTGACATGATGGGGATTTTTATTTCTTCCTTATTTTCTGTGATGAACACACCTTAGTTTTCTTATTAAAAATTAACAGCTTCGAGGAACGCTTACAAAGACAGTGGAAACACATTCTAACGTCGTCATGGCACCGAATGGCGGTCAATCACACGGGCAGCTCACTGGTTCCCACGCCAGTTCTACAGGCTCGCCGCTTGGCCTTGAACTAGTCATCTCACCTCTCTGAGCTCTGGTGTCCACGTCAGTAAAAGGGGTACATGTCAATGGTGTCTACTTCACGGGGCTGTTAGCTAAGTTGAAGACAAAGTGCTTGGAACGGTGCTCAGCACGTGGAGGGCAGGCTAGACAGGATCGCTGACAGCAACCGCAGCAACCCTCCCCAGCAGGGAAGGTGCAGAGGCAGGCCGTGCAGGCTGCCATGTCACGTCCTGGCTCCGTCATTCACCAGATATGTGACCTGGGGCCTGTCACCCTACCTCTCCAGGCTTCACGAGAAGATTCAGTGAAAAGGGCTCAGCACGCAAATATGATAAAAATTCAACTATGTGAGAAGTATACACCAAAAAACAGGTAGTGCCATCATTTGCCTTTGGTGTATAAACATGTGAGCTATAATTATTAATAAAAGACAATTATAATGTGTAAAAGAGCAACACCGGGAACTGACTCCCTCTCTGTGTATGAGCTTGGAGAAGTGTGTGAACTTCCCTGAGCCTCAGTTTCCCCATCTGGAAAGACGGAGCCAATGCCCACCTTAGAGGGCTACTGTGGACGCTAAAGCAAAAGCCAACTTCACGTAAATTCAGTCTTCTACCTTGTGCCATATGCTGTGCTAGGCACATTATTTTACACCGTCATCTCCTTTGGTCCTCAGGGCAACCCCATTAGATTAGAACTAGTATTTCCTTTTTTACAGATGAGGAAACAGAGAGGTTAAAAAATGTTCCAAGTATACTCAGCGAGGAAGTGGGCAGAGGCAAGATTTGAACCCAGGACTTACCCATTCCAAAAGATACTGACCCTTCACAAGATGGCAGCAAATGTAGTTTCTTTTCTGTTTCCTGACTTGGTGGGCTTCAGTTTAGTCGTGTACGAAATGGGCATGAAGGATAACAGTCACTAAAAGTCTACCCAGCTTAGCTCTATTAAATTCCACTGCCAAGCATGGCGTTGAGAGACCGGTCTTCCTATCCCAACCTCTCAGACTCAACTTACCAGTCTGGGGAAGCCTCCTGGGCAGGATGCTGCCGGCTGGTCCTGGCTGGAGTTGTCTGGGCTTCTGTCTGTGCCCTGGTCCTCAGCAGGGGGCACTGGGCCCGTGCCCAGCATAGCACACTTGGATATTCTCTGCCCTTTGAATGAGTCTGAGCGAGCCTCGCTGGCTGCAGACTCTGGGGAGCCGGCAGAGGTGTCCGTGGGAGCAGCGAGCCCTTGCCCCAGCCTCCCCCTGGATACTGGCTGAACCTTGACCTCCGGCTCCTCCCGGCTGGGTGAGGTGGCAGGGCCACCATCACCGCCAGCCCCCACAACGACCCGCTCAGCTTCTTGCCACTCTGTGGAAGCCTTTCCAGACTCTCCCAGGCACAGTGCAGGGCTCTGCGCAGGGTCCTGGGCAGCTGGCCTGAGGCTCTCCCCTCCACTGGGCAGTGGGAGCAGGACAGGGTCGTAGGGGCTGCCTGGTCGGGCCCCGCCCCCTGCAGCAGGCAAACACCTGAACTTCTCAGTCCCTGAGGCAGATCCCACACAACATCCGCCTGAATCTCCTGGCCCAGGCCCCGTGTCCTTGGGAGAAAGAGGCCAGCAAAGGCCTCCCAACGACACCAAGTCAGCACCTTGTGGGGGATCTCCCACACATTGGGGGTCGTCCCCACCAGGCCTCTGACCAGGCCACAAGAAGCCACCAAGCCCCTCCCCACCTTCTGAGCAGGCCTTACGCTTTCTGCTTTTCTTTCTTGCCCACACAGGGGCTGCGCCTAGTGAGGATGGCAGTTCCCCTTTGGGGGGTTCCTCTTTACTGAGGGTGGGGCTTCTTCCATCACACCCTGGAGAGCCCCTCCCTCCTTGTCTGACCTCTCTGGGCCTGGGGCAGCTCGTCTCCACACCTGCAGGCCTCTCCCTGCCAGCCAAAGCTCTCTCTGGGAGCCCCACGGACATGCCACAAAGATTGCTGGCCCAGTTTTCATCCAAGACTTTGTGTAGAGAAATCTGGAGTTTCTTGGTGGCCAGAGCCCTCCCCTGAGCAGGCACAGGGGGCAGCTGGATGTGGAGCTTAGGGCCAGGCACCAGATCCTGCCTCCGTCCAACAGCCTGCAGACCAAGGACCAGCAAGTGGGCACCGCCAGCCTGGGAGCTGGCACCCTGATGGATCTCTTCCCTGGGCACCCCCTCTCTGCTGCCAGCCCCAGCTGAGGCCCCAGAGCTTTCCCCAGGCAGGTCTGGGGCCAGGCCTGACACGGAGCTCGCTTCTTCCATGTCCTCCCGGGAAAGCCCACAGCTTCGTCGGGGTCTGAGATCAGGGTCCTCTGTGCCGGAGCCCTCTGCAGCCCCTTCCTGAGACATGTCTGTCCACCCACAGGGGCCAGAAGCAGAGCGTGGGCCCTGTGAGGAGACAGAGAAGAGGCTTCGTCACGGAGGGTCTGACTCACCAGCCCATTCAGCACAGCAGGCCGTGGGGAACGAGGGAAACAGCCTCCCTCCCAGGTGCCACCACCCCCGGGGCCCTGCCCACTCTGGAGGCCTGGAGGCCACAGGGACTGGGGATAGCACCCACGGATGTAAGCACCCCAGCAGGGCCTGCCCCCCACCAAATAGGGTTGAACTGCAGCAACCTTGCGGCCTTCCCATCTCTGAGAGTTCACACTTTTGCTCAAGTGGGATGTGATATTAACAGTTACCAGTTATTAACTACTTACTCTTATGCATTATTTCCTTTCACACTGGTGGCGAGGAAACACATAAAGACCTTAAGACACTCGCCAAAGAACACGCGGATGGGAGTGGAAGGGCCCATATCCTCTCTGCAGCTGAAAGCCCAGCTCTAAACCACTGCTTACGGAGCAGACTCCGGAGGGCGTTCATTCCTATCACCTTCCGGTCCCCCGCGCATCGTTCTGGTTCTGCTAGATACCACAGCCAGGCTCCCAAGCCTGAGAAGGACAGACCCCTACCGCTCCAGGAATCCGACTCCCAACCGTCCAGTAGCTCTCAACTGGAGTCCCCCGGCTCCCCCTTCCAGGGGTCCACCCCCAGCTGGGAAGAGGCTGAATCACGTGAGGCGAGGAGCACTGGGTGAGGGGATGGGGGCGTAGTCTCCGGGGATACGCAAAGGGCTTCCCCCGAGACGAGCTGATGTCTCAGCACCAGCAGAGGGCGCACTCCCTCCAGAGGACTTCCCGGAGGAGGTGCCTCTCCCCCACGCTTCTGAGCCGAGGTGGGTGGGTGCCTGAAGCCAGAGGTCCGACGTGATGTCGAAGGGCCTGGAATCTGAGAGTTTAAACTGGATCTTAAGGTGATGGAGAGTTCCTGGAAGTGCCTGAGCCCCTAGGGGAATATCAGAATCAGATCTACATGGTTTCCTAATTATGATTTTAATTATCTCAAATATAAAAATAGAATTCAGATAGATAAAAATGCACATCCAAGCCCCCCAAAAAGTTGGAAATAATTTTAAAATATCCTCTCACTTCCGAGCCCGGGAGCAACCATGCTCTTTTTCTTTTGTTTCTTTTTCTTTTCTTTTCTTTCTTTTCTTACTATGTATTTTAGTTTTTTCTTTATGTTACTTTCATAACTGGGAATAATGTACTCACAGCCCATCACCTGATTTACTAGTGTTAACAGTGTCTATGATTCCCTGCGGTGATGGTTTCATCAGCCATCCTTTTCCCTTTGCTCCTCCCCAATTTTTTTATATTCATGCTTTTATATTGCTACTGGTTACAATTATGACTTTGAATAATAGGCTTACATGTTGATTTCTTCTTTAGACTGTATCTTTTGATTCTCCTCCGTGTGAGAGGAATAATTTCCCCTCCCCAGGTTTGCCCTCCTCCATCGACTCGGTTGTTGCTTTTGCTTTGTCGAGGTTTGTAGTGGGCACGTTCTGTTCTGGGAAGGTAATTCAGTTTGCCGTGCTTTGCCTGGAGAATGATTCTGCACTCTGAAAACCAGATGACGTTTATAACATTGCTACTATGTGAGTGTTTTCACTGCAGAATTCAGGATTTTATAGACCTCGCTAAGAGGAAGATGGGATTTCCGGCACTAAAGCCTGTGCCACGTGAGGTGATGAGGCACTTCCAAGCGATTGGAATACGATGCTGCGGTCAGAATGAGTAAGTTAGATCTCTATATCAGGGTGCATGCATCTCCAAGACATGATGTTGGATTTAAAAGGCAAGATAATGTTAATAACCAGGGAAATGGAATGCCAAGTATTTGGGGATATCTTTGTACTAGTCTTCCATTTATTTTTCTGTATATTTGTCTTATAAATAAGGTGTACTACAAAAAAAAAAAAAGGAAGCTGTTATGTAATCCACATTGAAAGCTGTCATGATCTGGCTGTCAGTGTCACAAATGAGTTAAGAGCTGAGAGTGGATGTCACCAGCAGCATCCAGCTGCTACTCTAAAGAAATGAAAGACCTCCCCCCACGGAATGTCCTGCTCATCATGGCAGAGACCTGACCAGGGTCCCTGAGGCTAAGTGGACTGTTATGCTGGTCCATTTGCATCATGGAAGCCTCCCACCATTGGGGAAAGAAAGGGGGTGCCGAGGTGCTCCCCCACCCCATGGTGCTGGGGGTAAATGGACAGTGACAGCCAGCACATGTGGTGCTATTTTGAGCCAGCGACTGGTGTAAATGCTTTACCTAGCTTAATCCTCTATTTACCTTTTTGAATTACGTTTATTAATCCTTCCACCAAGTCTATGAGGAAAGTACTTTGATTGTCCCCATTTTACAGATGAGGAAATAGGCACAGAGAGATTCAGTAACTGGCCCAAGGTTCATAGGCGGTAGAGTTGATTGAGGAGCCCAGTCCCTCTGTCTCCTGATATTCTGAAATGTCTCATTGTCATAAAAAGTAATCAGAGGTAGGTTTTGCCCAGGTTTTGGCCCAGTGCCTTTGACCAGACTGTTTGCCAATTCCTCGCTGACTCACGACAGCACCTCTTTTCCACAGCCTTCCTTATTCACCACCGGGGTTTCCCGCTTTGCTGTTATTGGGCCTGGCTGCCCCTTGCGTTGAAGCTCCTTCCTCAGAAGTGAAACTAGACCTAGAGTAAACTCATGGGAGGCTGCAGGCGAGATCCAGAGGTCAGGGGGTTTCTTTCATAAATGTTTATTGAGCATTTACCATGGGCTAGGATTTTTGTATATCTTCTCATTGAATCTTCATATCAATACTATGAAGTATACATACATCATTATAAACTGTCAACAGAGGAGGAAAACTGAGATTTTGGTAGATGAAGTGACTTACCTAAGATCGTGAAATATGGGAGAAGCAGAGCTGGAGGTTCAACGTCAAGTGCGACTCAATCCAAAGTTCCTTCTCTAAACTATATGCTCTTGAGGGCAGGAACCAGACCAGGTCTGCCTTGTTGGCCACTATATTTATTCACAGTACCCAATGTGGTAGCTGTCATTTAGTAAATGAGAACACACACGTAGGAAGAATGTAATGGCACAGTATATGGGAGCCAAGGAGAGCGTCTGGTTTTTGTGGGCTTTTTTTTCCTTTGATAAATGGTTTCTCTAAATAAGTTTAGGCTCCCAGAAAAGCTGGAAATGTAATACAGGGAGTTCTATATGCCCCTCACCCATTTCCTTCCACTGTTAGCATCTCACATTATCGTGGTCCATTTGTCACAGCTAAGAAACCAACATTAATAATGTCACTATTCACTAAGCTACAAACTTTATTTGGATCTCACCAGTTTTCCCACTGATGTCTTTGTTTTCTGTGTCAGGGTCCGGAGCAGCACCCTGAAACCGTTGGCAGGTACCTGTCACGTGGCACCCCGGGACACTGCATATACCTGTCACATGGCGCCCTGGTGCAATCAGCCATCATGTCTCACAGTCTCCTCTGGTCGGTGACAGTGCCTCAGTCTTTTCTCGTTTCTCATGAACTTGACAGTTTTGAGGAGTGATGCTCAGGGGTTCTGTGAAATGTTCCTCATGTTGGGTTTTTATGATGTTTTTCTCCTGATTAAACTGGTTTTAAGGGTTTGGGGCAAGAATGACCCAGAGGGCAAGAGTGTCACACCGTGTCGGGGACATGTGATAGCCACATGACATCACAGGGGCAGGGGCCTCCATCACGTGGTAAGACGTTGTTTTCTAGACTTCACAGGAAAGTTATTGCTTTAAGAATTTTAAGGTGGAAGGAGATAATATTTTCAGAGAACACGTAATGACGCAAAGTGACGCATGTGATGCTAAGCACAGGCTTAACGCTGGAGCCAGCATGGCTTCAGCTGGGGGGATCTCCCTGCCTTGCCTCCCTGAGGTGGGCTGACTTTTGTCACTGGGCCTCTCCCGCGGCTGGGGAGGGGGAAGGAGGACACGAGTTCATTTTCTGTGGGCGTTTCTGTGCACGGCCTTCATCCTCGGCCACTGCTGTGGAGTCAAAGGGAAGAGGGGCCGATCCGGACCACACCGAGCCGCCAGCGAACAACACCTGGGGGGAGCACAGGAAGTCCCTGCGAACCCCGCTCCCCCAGAAGCACCCCCTGCACTGCTGGTCAGCAGCAGGCTGCTCGGCCAGAGGTCGCTCGGGCCGTCCACAGCTCCGGCGAGACAAGCCCGGACCTGCCTCTGACATGAATTCTCTGATTTGCCGAAGAGCATGTTCAATCAAGGTTGTGGACTTCGTGAGCTGGAAAACCAGAAGCAGACCTTCTGGGCCCAAGGCAAGAGGTTTCCAAGAACAGTGAGCAGCTCTGTGTCCCGAGGCTGGGCTCCTACTTAAGATGGACACACTGCCCCTCAGGGCCACCGGCAGGACTCTGCTCGTGCTTCCAGGCACCGGTGTCCCCCTGACCCCAGCTGGTGGGACCTCCTCTAGACACTGTTGCTCCTCTTCACTAGGGTCATGGCCACTGCCATGGGACAATGCGAACTCTGTTACAGCTAGTGATCCTGGTCAAGCTCAGTGGCCACCACTGGGCCTCTGACAGAGCCCTCCTGAGATGCCACCAAATGTGGCTGTCTATATCTCTAAGTCCTGGGCCACAGCGGAAGTGATTCGATCTCCTGTGCCTCTGGGCTTCTCCCAACCCTTCAAGGTCATGGACAGACACAGCCAGGAGTGAACCGAAAGCTGTGGTGGCCTCAGTTGAATATGTTTGTGTTTATGAAAAGCAGGCCTTTCCCCAGGCTGCCAGGGGCTGCTGGCGCACTGAGCAGGGCTGCTGGTGGGCACGGATCATCGCAGACTGACTTACGGTGTTGATGGCGACCTGCTCTCCCCCTGGGCAGGTCCCTCTGCCCCACCCTTCCACTCGGCGCTCTAAGAAGGAAGTCACTTGGTGCAGCCTGTGCTGCAGCGATGGACAGCACGTGCCACCTCCCTGAGCACAGAATATGGACGGAACTAATCTGGAGTTTTTCCTGAGAGATTGGATTCTTCCCAATCATTTATTTATACCATGTATTTAATCATTTATTTGTGGCAGAATGGACTCATGGATTACTTGTTTTATACTTTGGGTTGTAATGCAATGCCACTTTACTTATTTTGTAGCTCAAGCTCTTCCAGCTTTGGCTCCTGGGAGCTCTTTTCCTCGGCTCCTGTGTTTCTTTGACATTTTGACATTTCTGTTTGGGAGGGTACGCTTCCTACCTCCTTGGAGACTTTTGACTCCGCTGATGTCAGATGTCAGATACGGGCGAGACTCGGACTGAGTCCCTCTTCATTCACCCGGGCAGCTGGCTCCTGGGCCTTTGAACCCCAGGCCGTGGCTTTGCCTCTGATCGGGGGGACCTCGGAGCTGCCACACACGCTGAACCTTAGACCTTGCCCTTTCCTTCCTCCTGCAGCCACTGCCCCGTAGAAACAGGGCCCTTCCCCAGCTGAGTGTGCCCAGTTCTGGCCCCAGAGAAGCTCGGTAACCTTAGCAATATAACTATATCCCCCATGTGTGTGAATAAACTTCTTTAAAGGACGAAACAAAACAGAAAAATCTGCCTCTTGATTATCTTTGAAACTGACCTTATCTGCTGCATTCCTGGACTTCAGATCAATGTCCTTTTGCCTGAAGCTGTTTTTGTTACACGGGGCCCATCTGGCCAATGGAGCATCAAGGTCTTCGGAGTCACCCAGACTCAGATTCCAATCCCAGCGGCTCTGGGCAATCATTTGATCTCTCAAAGCCTGTGTTTCCTCACCTGGAGAAGAGGGATAATAACAACCTCTGAGTGGCCACCACTGATTGAGCACCCGCTGTGTGGATTAGGGGATAACTTAGGCAAAGCACCTCACACACCTAGTACGGGCTCAACAAACGGAAGCTATTACTACTGCTAGCAGTCGTGTTGGGTAGGATAGACAGCAGACAAAGGCGGGGATGAGGAGGAAGACAAGTCCCACGCATGGACTTGAAATTCTATGTATGTATCTTCCATTATCTGGGAAAGAAAGCCTTTGAAACTGTGCTTTTATCCCAAGGCCTGAAAGGCTGGAAAAGGTTCATGGTGCCTAAAGGAAGAAGTCCCTTAATACCTTTGGGTATTCACGCCCCCATCCTGGAAAGCTAGCAGCACCTTTTCCTGTCAACATGTAACTTCTCCACTCTCCCCCATCCCACCGACAGCAGCTCTTCAGAACAAAGGATCTCTCTCTTGCTCTTGCCACCCCTGCCCTTGCTGCCCTTGCCCTTGCCCTTCTCCCCCACCACAGCCAGGCCCATTCTCTTCCACGAGAACAGATCGCCAATATACACTTCTTTCACAATAATAGACTCTCGATCTATAATTCTTCACTGCGCTGGCGAGAAGAACCAAGTTTCTAGGAGTTTCTCCCGAAACAGTAAGAATACAGTAGTGACACAGCCACGTCACTCTTCTACTCCCTGTCCCTCGAGAATCCAGAATCCAGAACCCGCCCCCCACCACACCCCCCCCCCGGAATCCAGGAGCTTGTGGAATTCCTGCTCCCTATGCCTGGCCTCCTCTCCCTTCCCTCCCCAAACCCCACCACGCCAGTCACTGCTCCTGAACAGGCCTCACTCAGCACCTCCTTGCCTTTGCCTGCACTGTCCCCCCTGCCCACGATGATCTTCCAGCCTTTCTCATCTGGGGACTTCCAGTTCCAGGCCTCTGTTCACAGTGACAGAAACAAACCAACCAACCATCTGGAGCTTACAGCCGCTCCCCGCCCTGCAGCACCTCCCTGATGCAGTAATTATGTGATAACGTGTCCATCTCGCCCCAACCCCCTCACCGACCGGGCTTCCCAATGGTCAGGGTCATCTCTGGTTAGACCGAGTGGTAAGGAGGAAAGGCCATGGACTTGGACTCCCACAGACTGGGTGTGATCTGCATCTGGAGCTTATCAGCCGTGTGGCCTAAAGCAAGTTCCTAACTGACAAGAATAAGAATGGTTATTTCATAGGAATGTTGTAAAGATTTAAGCAGATGATCCATGTGGAGCTCTTCGCATAATGCCCAGCACACAGAAAGCACTTAACAAATGGTCACTTTCTCTCTTTTTATTAATATCAGGCAGCCAGGAGTTGCCTGCTCTGCCAGGCTCCGTTTATTGATGGATTCGAGGCTAAAAATAGAGCTGCTGCAGCCGTGAGGAGTAGGTCCTTCCAGAGCCGGAATTGATGCCCTTGATACTGTGGGTGGGGAAGGAGCCCGCTTCTCTCCCCAGGGGCCTCTCAGAGAAACACAAATCTTCGTGCCTCCAGCCTTTCTCCCGTTGGCATCGGGGTGGGCATGCAGAGCCAGCCCCGGCCAGGCCGATGAGCAATCCTAGCAGAGGGCTTTGGAAGCTGACAAGCTCGCTTTTAACTCCAGCCCTGCCATTCACCAGCTCTGTGACCTTGAGCAAGCGATGCTCGTTCCCTCTCTGAGGATCATTATTATTCTCTAGCCTGGGAAGCTAACAATGGTAATACCGTAGTTTGGAATAACAAGCAGCGTACATGTGCAGAGGCCTTGAGGACAATGACAAGCTCTGGGACTGTGGATAATGACATTCCCCCTCTGAGCCTCAGTTTTCACGTTTCTGAAACAGGCACAGTAGCCCTGACCTTCCCAGGCTGTTGCGAGGACCTAGCGAGGTCATGGACAGTGGTCACTGACAGCAGCGTCACCTGATGGGAACCTGAGTTGTCAGATGGCCCGTCTGAGGGGGAGCAGAGACAGAAATTTATTTTAGCTGCTTTTAGCTATTGATCCACCAGCCCTGGAAAATGCAAAGAAATGCATCCAACAAGAAAAAAAACCTCTCATCTTCAGCTGCTAACAGGCTGGCCCTTTAAGTGGACAAACCACTTCTGTGTGATTGACTTCCCCCTGCTCTTGGAGACTTATTTCATCTCCCAGGACAAGAGGTTGATTTAATTAGAGCAGATCCTACATCGTGGACAGGAGCCCCCACTTTCCTTGCTACAGGAAGTCTTAACTGAGCCCTCAAAGGTCCTAAATCTGGTGTCCAGGGGCACGGACGCAGCCTCCTCTATGGAGACACGCGGAGCTCAGGCTCACAGCCTGGAGGCCGTACACGCCAGTTGGTTTCTCCCCTTCTCCCTTCCTGGGACAGGTCCGGTCAGGCTCCAGCCCCTTGCTCATTTCTGACCATGAGATGGATTCAGAATTGCGCGACAATAACATTGATAAAAACATATCGATACAACCCCATCACCCTGTAGTCCTCCGGGGGGAGGACAGCACAGCGGTCCCTGTAAGAGATCAAGAGCCGTGGGCCAGGGCATCCTGTGCAAAGGCTCTCTGCCCAACCACCGGCAACCCGTGCACCTGACCGGGGGGAGGGAGGTCCATGTTCTTCTGACCAGGCTGAGCGTGAAAGAAGGAAGATTGTGTGGTCATCTCAGGGTGCCCACAAGCCTTCGGTGGGGGAGTCCACCCAGCAGCATCTAGAATGAGAGTTTGGGTTCTGGATTCTCACTCTCCTGGGTCTGGATCTCAGCTCTACCCTGGGAGACCCTGGGCCAGTCTCTTAACCTCTCACCCCTGAGTTTCCTCAGAATATATTTACTCATTGGTTTGCATATTCCTCAGTATTCTTGCTTGCAGACTAGAGGCCACTCTGGCCAGTTTGAGGAGGATAGAAATTCCTCTAAGGATGTTAGACTCACTGGGTGATGGAGAGACAGCCTCTAGATGCAGCTTTCAGAAGCATCTCCAAGAAGCACGCTGCAGAATCAGACTGGCGGGGGAACTGCTGCCGCTGGCCCTGACCCCAGAGTCATAGCGCACTGGCCTCCACGCAGGCCAGCGAAAGGGATGCCCACATGCAGCCAACACCACACAGAGCTCATCTTCTGCTTGGTGTGTCGGGCGGTGAGTGTGATCCGAGGAAACTGGGTCACACGCCTGCACACTGGCTGCAAGGGAGGCTGCCTTCTGCTTCCAGAAGGAGGAACTCAAGATATAAGGCCTGATCACAATGGAGACAGGGATGTTTTAAGTTGTTGGACAGTGAAGAATGACAAGCATTCAGTCCATCTTCTTTCTTGTCTATTTCCCTCACCTTGAACGAAAGTTCCATGGGACAGGTATCTGAAGTGTCTTGTTCACCTCTGTAGCCCCCGCACCTAACATGGAGCCCGTGATGAATACACAGATAAGATCAAATGTGAGCAATCAAAGAGCCACCTGCACTTGGAGGCTACCGGCCTACTTGCAGTCTCAGGGGGTTGTAGCTCCGTGAGTCTGGAAACACTGCTCCTTTAAGAAGTGTGTTCCTTCACAACCCCCTGCCTGATGGGGACGTTGTCTTGGTCTTCCAGCTCTCAGCCTTGACTCCCCTCCTCCTGGAGGCTTTCCTTGGTGTACAGCTCTATCCCTTTCGGCACCATAGTCGCTGCTGCAAGTACCCTGCCCTCATGAGCTAGTTAGCAGGGTGGTTAAAAACCACGTCTACTGTCTAACTGGCAGATCTCAAACACTGGCCTCAGCTCTTACTCGCTGTTGGAGCTTGGGTAAGTCCTGTCATTACTCTGGGGCCCATTGTCCTCATCTATAAGATGGGGACACTATAGTATCTAAGGTATAGAGTTACTGCGAGGTTTGAGTGAGAGAGTGTGTGCAAGCTCTTAGGACGGGGGCTGAGAGAGAGAGAGAGAACGGGCGCAGAGAGATAACTCCACTGCTGCTGTTGCTAGCCTTGCCCTTCCGGTGCTTATCTGGGCGATATTACGATTGTTCGAATGTCTGTATCCCCGACTTAACTGACGCCTCCGGAAATTAGGAACGACAGTGTCCTAAAGGCCCCGCCCCATACCTCTCCATGTATCTGTCACACAGATCGGGTGCTCACACACTTTGTGGGATAAACGATTAACTCAATCAGAGAAATCATAAGTGCAAAGACTGATAGCTAAAACATTTAAAGTTTGTATATTAGAAAAATAACTAAAATTAAAATGCCACCCGGAAGTGGGGAGAATGGCAAATGGCTAATGTAAATATTTCACGCACACCAGCATAAAATATCTGAGTTGCTAAGATCTGGACAAAGGTCACAAGCAGGCAATTCAGGGGAGGAAATAGAAGTAGTAAGTAAACATGAGAGAATATTCACCCTTCAACAGAAGAAATAGAAATGCGATACAAACAAAGGCAACAATAAACAGAACTCAATATCAAACTGTTTATAACACTAAAAAAGGTCCAGTAGCAGAAGACTGGTTACATAAGGAATGATACTTTGATTCAATGGCATGGTGTTCCGCCATTAAATAATTATGAAAATGTTAAAAGCAAGTGCTTATGATATAGTAAGTTTATAAGCAGACTGCAAAATTTAATTTAAAGCATGATCACAAGTGTGCAAAATGTTCATCTGGATTTAATGAAAACTTGGCACAAAATACAGGAAAATGCAGGCAGTTGCCTTGATAAAGGAGAGAAAATTCATGGAGTGCCCTCCATATGCCAGCCATCACGCCAAGGGCTTCCACAGATATGATCTCACTTAACTTCCCAATGCCCCCCAAATCTTGAGAGGTAGGAGCGGTCCCCCCGCTAGGGAAGGCAGTGAAGGCATAGAAAGGGACAATCACCTGCTGAGGTGGCACAGCC